GCTCTGCGGGCTTCTCAGGGTGGAAGCTCTCCTGCAGCCCCCCAATTGCCCCCTCTCCCCAGATGGCAGCCTGCGGCAAGTGCAGCCAGGCTGATGGCTGAGTGGTGTGATATGCCCAGTGTGGGTAGTCCGGGCAATCCAAGCCAGGACTGCTTTGCAAGCGGGGCACCCCTGAGAACTGTCTGTCCGGGGTGGGGGTCGGGACCCTTTAAGCACAGCCCTCGGCTAGCCTGAGACAGCATCTCCACGCTCTAAGTCCTCCTCTGATGCCCTGCCGGCACTGCTTCCGGCCATCCTTAACCCCGGTTCAGGGTCCACTTAATGTGGACATGCTAGATCGAATTAGCAAAACGCTAATTCGAACTAGTCTTTTAGTCTAGATCCGTTAGTTCGAATTAGCTTAGTTCGAATTAACTAATTCGAACTAAGTTAGTTCGAATTAACATTGTAGTGTAGACATACCCTGAGGGAGGCCCCTGCTGGAAAAGAGTTTTTTGGGATAAGTGCTTGCTCCTCTACCCAGGCCTCTGAGTGCAACTCATGCATTGAATTAAATGCCACCGGCACCATTGGTTGCTGGGCTGAGATGACATCTGAAGGATGGAGTGAAGGAGGCATTTGTAACACAGGCAATGCTCCACATGGTGCAAAGCTCCACATGGTCCAATAAGGGCACTGTACTGGTCACTGGCCTGGCTGCCAAGACAGCACTGTAAAGGTCCACACAGTCTCAAGTACCCAGTATCACCAGCATTGCCTCAGCAAAGGGCTGAATTCCCTTTCCATGCCACAGAAATCACATTCCGGTGACCACCAAGTGGCTGTCGAAGCTTGCGTCCATTGGTTAACCATCACTAGAGGAGAATGGTGTCTTGAGGTGATGGATAAGTGCTGGGGGAGGATGGATCACTACCATGTCAGAAACTCTACTCATGATCTAGGGCAGTGGTTCCCAAGCTTTTTAATATTGGGGAACAGCAAACATGTTGGGCTGACAACATTCTATTTGCACATCTGAATATTCATTATGCAAATGAAAAATATGCAAATAAAATGTTTCCTTTTTGCCAAAATATGTACCGCTGTCCCCTCATACACTGTGCCCCCCATATTATCCTATTCAGCCCCAGCAGTCAGAGCAGCCACCCACCGGGAGGAGCAGGTCATGGCCCCCCTGCTAGAGCAGGCCTTGCCCCCACTCCACACGGTAGGTTACAAACCCCCTCCTCCACCAGAGCAGGCCCTGATCTCCCCCACAATGCAGCTGCGACAGGTCCCAGCCCCCTGTCAAGTGGAAGGTTCCAGTCCCCCTTCATCGACACAGGCCCCACCCCGCCACCACTGCAGCCTCTCTCCCCCACCGGAGCAGGCCCTGGCCATCCACAACGCAGCCACAGTGCAACCCACTCCCAGCCACTGGAGCAGGCCCAGCTGCTAGAGCAAATCCCAGCCACGTACCACACAGCAGCAGCACAGGCTCCACCCCTAGCTGCCGAAGCAGGCCCCAACCACACACCCCGCAGCCAGAGCAGGTCTTGGCCCCCCATCCTTCCCCTGCCAGAGCAAGCCCCAGCCACCTACCATGGGGCTGCAGTCTCCTCCCTCCCCTCGATGCCCCAGCCACTCTCCACGTGGCCATGCCAGCCAGGCCTTGTAGTGGCGTGGCTGCTGCAGTTGGAACTGGGGCCACAGTGAGGCTGCTCCAGTAGGGACAGCCTCACTGTGATCCTGGCTCCAGCTCCAGCCTTGCCCCGCCACCTCACTCAGCCTGCTACTGCATAGTGAAGTGGGCGGAACATAATTCCCTTATGGGGAACCCCAGCTGGCGGAAGACAGCTGGTGAGAGCATGACTGATGCCAGCAATATGGTGACTGAAGCCTCCCCTGCACTGAGAGGGTGGAGACTGCGATCACAGGGCTGAGAATCTAGAGCAACCTGCTGAAGACAGAAACCTAGGGCATGGAGACAGAGAGCATTATCTTGGTTCTGGACGCTGGTGGCATTCACTTGGAGCTGCTATTGGAGGGGTTCACCAACAGGTATAGGCCTGTTGCCGACAAAGCAGGATTTAAAACCCGGAGACAGGTGAAGTCCCCGCAGAGACTCTTTAACTATATTATGTAACTAACAACTACTTATTAACTAACTTCTGTAAACTATTTACAAAGCTTTAAGATCAAGGAGAAGGAACTGATAACCCTTAGTAGGCAAGAGAAAGGTGCTCCAACTAACCAGTGATAAGAAGGAATTAAAAGAGTGTAAGACCAGCAGTGCCTAATATACCAATGCATGAGTGTGGCACTCAAGAAAGTGCCACAGCTAATCCTATGAATACCACTAAGTCAAAAATCTCCAATGACTACACATGTGCATGCATATGCACATCTAGAATTCAACTGACATGGGCAAGCACTTGAAATAGAACATTAGAAATTAATGTAAAATGCTTACAGCAGTTGCAGAAAATACTATCTTAATAACACTATCACACAACAAATGTGTGTCAGAGCTGTAACTTCCTATTAATAAATAATAATTATTATTTTTGTATAGCATAAAGCCTATTGAAACTGTTTCCTATTATAACAGTTCTCCCATGTTAACAGCTATGTCAAAATCATTCAAAACAAAGCACTACAAGGGATTCAATACCATTATCTACCTGATTCTTCTTGTTCATCAATGTCTTGAGGATCTGAACCACTTCTATTACGATATTCTTTATAACTTTTTGTCTTACGAGTTGCCATCTCATCATCAGTAGCATCTCCACTTTCGCCCTGGACACAGTGAACATTGTCATAGATATCTTTAAAATGTTACTTTATTTTATATTCTTTTTGTGAATGTCAAAAACTGAACACAAATTGGGTATTCTACATTAAAGACTAAAGAAGACTGCTGTTAATACTGATATTTGTCACCATCATTCTAGATAGTAAAGAGGTAATTTAAGTCTCATGAAAGTTACCCAAAGGAGTGTGGGAACACTGGCTATCATCTCAATGCAACATCTCACAGAAGAAGATAACGATCTTGATCTTGATAACGATCTCACAGAAGATGATAACGATATTCTGGAGTGCTCTGGTTAGTTCTGTGTTATTACACTGGCATAAAACAGTTCTAAGCAGAGTGAGACTGGCCCCTTGAAGTATCTCCCTGGCTAAAGGAATTTTTGGGTAATGTCGTTTCTACATCACCTGTCTGTTGGCCTCTGGTGCAAAGGATGTATGTCCAGGAAAAAGAAGATGTGGACTGGGCAACTCAGGTGCACAGCTGATCTTCAACTAATGAAACAACTCTGAGGGGCTGCTGACAGCAAGCAAAAATACAACTGCTTGCAAGCTTAAGGAAGCACAAGGTAGGGGTCAGAGGCAACTGGTGAGGAGGACCAAAGCAAGGGCACTGGCCACGTGTCCCCCCAGACCAGGGAAGGTCCAGAGCAACCTCGCTCTGCTCCAGCCCCAACTCCCCTGCCTTTGCCCTGCCCTAACCCCACCTCTTCCTCCAACCAAGGCTGCCCAATGGACTAGCAAGGCTGGAGAGTTAGCACTGGCAGCAGGAGTTCGCCACTCTCCTACATCCTAACACTAATTTTGTTATAATTTGGGCCTTTCCACCTTCTCTTGGCAAAGAGTTCCCCAGGTTGATTGTGAAGAAAGAGAAGGTTACTCATCTTGTACAGTAATGGAGCTTCTTTGAGATGGTTGTCCCTGTGGGTGCTCCACAGTAGGTGTCTGGGGTGCTGCTGCACCTCTAGTTGGAGAATTTAGGTAGCAGTGCCCTTGGTAGGCTGTGTACGCAGGGCAGCTGCATACGCGGTTGTGGCTGCTTTGCATGTGCAACCAACCATCCCTTCAGTTCCTTCTCTGCTCCAGAAATAGATGGTTTTGAAGAAGAGGGAAAGAAAAATGGGTAGTGAAGCACCCACAGGGACAACCATCTCAAAGAACCTCTGTTACTGCACAAGGTGAATAATCTTCTCTTCTTCGAGGAGTGTCTCGGTGGGTGATCCACCTTACTTGACTATGAAGCAATACTCATGCTTGGAGGAGGGAGCTTCAGTTGATCATGAGAATGCATGGTAGCTAATATCGTCTGGCCAAACTGAGTGTCATGAGACAGGTAAGTTTCAAGTGCATAGTGCTGTGTAAACGAACAAACAGAGGACCATGTGGCAGCTCTGCAAATGTCCATGAGAGGTATGTTGTGCAGGCAAGCTGTAGATGTCACCATTGCTCTTATGGAATAAGCATGTAGTTGCAGCGGAGGGTCCTGCTCAAAGGTATGGTAAGACAATAAATTGGCATGCCTCTGGCTCTTTTTGTAGTTATGCAAATCACCAATATTATTTGTGTCATCTGTTTAGTTCTATCCAAATAAAAAGCAACCACTCTGCAGATGTCAAGTCAGTGTCATTCAGCCTCTCTGGTATCCGCATGGGGTTTTGGGAGGAAAATAGGTAAGTAAATTGGTTTGTTACAATGAAAGGGGGTTGGGACCTTTGTGAGGAATTTTGAATGTGGTCACAGAATGACTTTGTCCTTTTGGAATATTGTACAAGGAGGATGTGCCATAATAGTGCTGAGTTTTCTTACTCTTCTGGCAGAGGTGATAGCGATTAAAAAAGCCACCTTCATGGAGAGGTGGAGCATCGAACAGGTAGCAAGCAGCTCGAAAGTCACTCATCCACAAGCCCTAAATACTAGACTGAGACCCGAAGGTGGGGTTGGAATCTTTGTGGATGGATGTTTTGAATTCCCTTTAAAAATCGGTTACCAATCAGGTGGGTAAAAACAGACTTGTCATCTATAGGGAGATGAAAGATGTTATCGCTGCCAGGTGAACCTTTAGGGAGGTAAATGAGAGTCCCAATGTTTTAAGAGACAATAGGAACTCTAGAATCAGAGAAAGGGGCGCAGTCACAGGAGCTATTTGTTTCTGTGGGGACCATACAGAAAATCTTTGCCACTTACACAGATCAATTTCTCGTAGTTAATGTGTGACTATTGAGAAGGATCTCTTTAACTGCTCCAGAGCCAGTCAGAAACCATGCCTGCAAATAAAGAATCTCAAAGTGCGGATGATGTGTGCAGCCACCGTTCTGCATCAGGAGATGCGGCAACATCGGAAGATGCCATGGTCTCCTTGTGGACATCTGCATTAGGTAAGGGTACCATGTCTGTCTGGGACCAACAGGGAGCAATTAGAATTACTGTGAACGTGTAATTCTAATTGCTCCCTGTTGGTCCAGGCAGATATGGTTATTGATGGAGAAGCGGGATTGGTGGGAATGCATATGATAGTTCCATGTTATTATGAACGCATCTCCTAAAGAGTGTGTTCCAATGCCCACATGAGAACAGTACTATGGACACTTCTTGTTGGCATTGGCTGCAAACAATTCCACTACTGGGAATCCCCACTGACTGAACACTTGTAATAGGAGATTGGAGTCTATCTCCCATTCATGATTCGATATTGTCTTTGCTCGGTAGAGGATTGAAGATGTATGTTGTGTAGAATGCACCATCTCCATAGGTGGACCGCTTCCAAACAGAGTTGGTATGACCTGGCTCCGCCCTAGTGATTTATATACTGTATGGTTGTCTCATTGTCCATAAAAATCTGTACTGATTTGTTGCAGATTAGATGCAGGAAGTATTGGCAAGTATAGGCTACTGCTCTGAGCTCTAACATATTTAAATGCAAACTGGATTCCTCCAGGGACTATCACCCTGCACTTTGAATTTGTCTGTGTGCACACCCCAACCAAGGAGAAATACATACAAAAATGATGAGGTTTAAAATAGCTGTTAAAGAAAGAGATTTTGGAATCGTTGCAATCTAAAAAGCTAACAGTATTGGGAATTATTAGGAAAGGAATAGATAGTAAGACAGAAAATATCAGCTTTTTAGATTGCCACTGCACTTTGAGCTGATGTTTTTGAGGAACTATCCACAACGATTCCAAAATCTCTTTCTTTAACAGCTATTTTAAAGCTCATCATTTTTGTATGTATAGTTGGGATTATATTTTTCAAAACTTTGGTGGGGGGAAGCTCTGTCTTAAGCAGTGCTGTGTCTTCTCTTTCTTTCCCAGGCGGCATAACCAGAGAATACTAGAGAGAGAGATGTGACCCTTTGCCTCTCCTCCTCCTGCATGCTATCAGGGGCACATGATCCCTCATGCACCCTCTCACAGCGCCTATGGTTGTGGTGGTGCTTTGTGTATACAGAGGTGAGAGTGGGGTTCCAGTCACTGAGGAAAGGATACTGACTACAGGACCCATGTTACTTTCCATATGATTACTATCAGGGCTCGACAAATCGTGTAATCTACTCGCCCGTGGCGAGTAGATTACAAGCCGGCACAGCTGGCACCGCTCAATCTGTGCATGCGCAGCACGATCTGTGCATGCGCAGCTCGCAGAACCATGCTGCTGGCGAGCTAGCCTTGCCGCTGCTTGGCGAGCCCTGATTACTATGATTTATCATTTATAATGAAGTAACATATAAAGGTCTCAACAAGTCTGCGCTCCAATGTTCTACGTACTATCCTTCAAAAACTGGGGCCTCCCTGTGAGTGAGGAAAATAAGCCATTCCTAAATAAATAATAAGCCAAGAAACTGCCATTGCAATTAACATAGTTTCAAAGTTTAACAGCTATATTATTATATACTGATTTTCCCTCTGGTACAGAATACTGTATTATGAGTAGCTTAAATTGGCAAGATGACAGGATTAGTACATAAATAACAAAAAAATTCTACCCTCATGATGACTTTCTTCTTTTTCTTGGCTGTGTTTATTCCTAGAGTGTTGTTTCTCTGCACACTGGGTTTCTCTGTGCTTTTGATCAGGGCTCCTGTGCTTGTATTCCTGGCACTCCAGCGTCTGCCTCCAAACAGTTCAACAGCCTGGGCCAAAGTTGGGCCTTCAAATCTGCCATCCTCCTACAAAAATTCTCAGTATTACAAAAACAACAAAACAAAACAAATCTCCCCCAAACCCCCCTACATACAGTATTGCAGAAAGACTCAAACATTTTCTAAAACAGTAGTGAAGACATTCAGTATAAGTCAGTGAAAGAACATGCAGAACATGTAAAGCAGAGCAAGTTTTCTTATAGTAAAAATACTTCTGTTTATTTTTTGTTATTATTGGCAAAATGTTTTGCCTTTTGTGTTTTTGTATCCCACCTCCCACTGCTCAAAATTTGAGCCCTTCTGAAAGTATGGGCATTGTTTCCTCTATAATCAAATGTTAAAATCAAAGGCCCAAATAGCATACCAGTTTCACTTTTTATTCTATGATATATTAAGAACAGCTTAATACAAAAGGTATGATTTTAGTGTATCAAAAAGCCTTTGATTAAATGCAGTATCAAAGGCAAGATTCACTAATTTTACGCTAGTGTCAATCTATTGACTTCATCGGAGCTACGCTGGTGTAAAATGAATGTAACAGTGGAGAATAATGTCTTGTATCTTTAACCTTAACCTCTCTAAAACACATCTGAATATGAATATTGTTATCTTAGAAACCTTCACTTATTTATATACTAGATCGGGGTAGGGAACCTTTTTTGGGGTCAGAAGCTGCTGACCTACAGAAAAATCTAGATGGAGGGGGAAGCGTGGGGCTGGAGTACCAGCCCAGATGCCTGATGCTGGAGGGGGGGAGGACCTGAAGTCTTGGGGGCCAGATCAAGGCAAGCGAGGGGCTGAATCCAGCCTCAGGGCCATAGGTTCCCCACCCCTGCACTAGATAAAAATGTACCTTACCTGATAAAGGCAAACATACTGTTTCCGTAGCCATTGCAATCTCTGATCAGGGAATTTCCTCATTTTTCTTACAGCTTTTGTTAATTCCAGCAATCCATCATACAGCATTTTGGCAGTATATTTTGGAGCCACAAAATGCAGCAACTTATTATCAGTAGTCTGAAGTCCATATAGCAGTGTTACACCATTCTCTTCAAGGGACATACTACAAAGTTTATTTTGAACACACACAGTGTGCAAATCAATGCCAGGGTGTCCCATGTACACAGCCTTTGCTGAAAACAAATCCAAAAAACCTTCCACCAGTCCATTCAATCCAGTACTGCCAAGAAACTGAAATTTACCAAGCTCAGCAGTGCTACTTAACACACCCAGTTTTACTTTAGTATTTGCAGGGCAAGTTGTGGTGGGTTTTATCCATGTCAAAGTACTATTGTCAGGTTGCAGCTGAAGAAAACAGCGTGCCGAGAGATGCATCTCTTGGTCATAATGTATGACAGTTGCCCCTTGAAGCATGAACTGATGGACATCAGCTCTGATTGATAAGATATACCAAGGAATGAGTTCTATTCCATGACTGTAGGCCTTTTGCTGCTCTTCAGTCGTATTTGTGTCCCATTCTTTTGACTGCTCAGATATGTCACTTTCTGAATCTGAGAGATCTCCAATTATAAACCTGTATGTGAAGTAGAATACAACACTTTACATTATCAAGTATTTGTATATATACTATATACATAGTGGAACATCTGGTACATATTTTTTCATTTACTCTATGCACGTTTAGCTACAATGCTGTCTTTATAATCAATATCTCTGTATTAGAGACAGAGAAAATATGTATGACAATATTTTCAGGTATTCTCTCCTTCAAACATCACAAGTACAAAATATAAATAAACATTTAAAAAGTTATTAATAATGAACATTTTTCACAGGGGATCTAAAAACAAAGTGATTCCTGCTTCTTAATCCAATCCATACAATAGCTTTGATTATGTACAAATCTCATGTGTGAACACTAGTCGCACAGACTAGTGGATTGAGGGCTAACTCCTTCATTATATATCTACTTTTCAGTTATTCACTCTGTGGCCTTGAGCAAGTTACTTACACTCTCTGCTTAGGCCATAGCTACATTTTGGAGCTAGGGGTGTGATTTCCAGCTCTCTCAGACATATGTACACTACCTCCCATTCAACTACCACACTTAAAATAGCAATATAGTTGGGGTGGCACAGGCTGCTGGTAAGCCATTCCAAATACCACAGGGATCAAGACGGTTTGTACTCAGCAAGGCTTAGCCCATGTCACTACTTACCACTAACTGAGTCACCGTAGGTATATCACTATATTTAGTATGCTAACTCAATGACAGTTACTATGAATATGTGTACATAATGTGGGAATTACATCCCCAGCTCATAGCATAAACCATATCCTTAATGTCCTTAATAGTGTCAACAACATGTACCTTGCCCAAAAGAATGTTGTGAGAATTGGAGAATATTTCTATTTTGAACATGTAATATGTTACATAAGTAGCATATAATTCTCAATCACAGAGTCTGTAGCTACCATTCCAAATATAATGAACAACTTTACTGTTCTTACATAGAGTAACTATGAAGCAGGAAGATCTAAATTAATAAATATGGTTTATGAGGACAGAATTCACTTGCACCAAAATCTCCTCTCCACAGAATCATCTTCTACCAAATTAAAACATACATATACTGCAGTACGGAATGTAAAAAGAACAGATCCTCAGCTGTTGATTTCAATGCATCTCACCCTATAGCTGCACATTAAATGATCTGTCATCATGACCATACAAGAAAACCTTTTTCAAACTGAAAAAAAATAAGCAGCCAACCCCACAGATATCCCAGAACATATTTACAAAATTTAACAACAGAGAGGACTTGCAAAGAGTGGGCCAGGATGGACAGGTGTGGCAGACCCTTGTCTGTGCCTTAAGCAACACCTTGCAACACAGGATGGAGTCAAATGTAAATGAAGCAGCCATGCAAAGCATGCACACAATTCATTTCTAGCAGTAGCTAGCACAAGCAACATAGCTTAGGAAGTACTGAGAACAAACTTACAGAACTCGGTTTGATTCACAGGCTTTCTTTGCATATGTTGCACTTAGATGCATTAGGAATGAAAGAAACAGATAAAAGGAAATATTAGAAGAGAATGTAGTTTTCAGAAGGAAATAGCAAGACATAATATATATGAAGAAAAATTCTGTGAATTTTTATGCTTACACTATAGAAAAATTACTGTGCTTTAAAGGTGTTGATTCATACACATACAATATGACTTGTGTTTCCAAAGTGGGACCAATCATTAAAAGGATTATATGGCAAAATTTAGAACTCCTACATAAGTTAGCTGATTAACAAATCTAGAAAAAATACAAGTATACCAGCAAGCTTCTAAAGGTCAGTTCTTTTCCATTCACAAACAATGCAAATTTATAACAAATCAAAATGAAATTCCAGTTCTTCTTTTGGAGTGGATAAGTGAATGTGATTCTCACAGCCATACACTTTTAAGGACATCAAATTACAATTATATTATGCAATTTCTCCTTCTGCAATGACATCTATCTTTTATATATTCCTACTCTCAAATACTGTTGTGTGTGAAAACATTAAACCACAGAAAAATTAGGGGAGCACCTGTCTCAATTAACTCTGGTTTACCTTGATTCAGATAATCATTACATGTTACAAATTTGAAATAATAATTTGAATCATATAAGCATTTTAAATTAGAAAAATAACCATAGCCTCTCTGTCAAAAGAGTGAAATACAAAGGAGATGACAATTAATTGTACTTGCATTGGCAGTATGTCTTCCTGCCCAATTTGTTTTATTCCTAAAAAGAGGAAGCCCTAACAAAAATGAATCATTGACACATACTTGGCATTTCAGGTAATTCCTGGTGAATAGTCAAGTCACCAATCACAGTGTGCTAAATATCCTATCAACTAGTAAAAGTGAGAAATCTGATTAACATATTTCCTAAATTTATTAGGTCCCTCTTATGTTCTTCAGATCAAACTAAATTACCTATTTTGTCAACTCATGGCCTAAGTTCTATATTTAATTCAGGAAAAAGCAATTAATGGAAGAGCTTCATTTTCATTTTGAACTATGACACTGAAGCAAATGATATGTTTTTATTTCTCCAAACCTCAAAATATTACTGTTTTATATATCACCCTTAGAAAAAAAATCAAGATTTCTATTATGACACAGTCTTTAGTTAGAATAAATAACTATAATTAAAACTACTTTTTAACTTTACTAAGTAAAGAGCATAAGTTAATGACTTTGGTATACTACACACAAAATACTATTCTCATCTCACTAGAAAAACTGACAGCAATTCACGATATTTTAAAATAAATACTTTTCCAGCCTCTACACAAAAAGAGAGCAATGCAGTATTGCCTCATCCTTTTGTGTTGTCATTTCCTGTTCCTTCCAGTGTTGTCAGTGTGCGCAAGAAAGAGAAAACAGGACAGTGGGAAGGGAAAGGAGACTTTAAGCACTGACTGCTCTCTGCCAGAAGGGCCTGGTTATTTAGGAGTGAAGACTTTGGGGAAGCAAATGGGGGCAGACTGCTCAGTTCATTGATGTATATAGATATGAAACATATGCTCCAAAGCAACAATTAAACATTTACAAGATAAGTTACCTTTCCATATATTGTTTGGCCATTTGTAGAAGCATTTTATTTTGTCGGTAAGTGAAATGTTTTCCCAAGTTTCTGTGAATTAAATGCTACTTTAAAAAGTGCTACGAGTTAGATGCTAGTTAAGAAAAATCATTTCTGGAAGTATGCATTTAAGTTGTATGCCTATGGGCTTTCTACAGCCCTCTTCTGCAATCAAAGTATGATGTGAATGGATAGTGAAGTAGAAAAGCCTTTCTTGGCATCAGCTGCTGATTTGTTGCTCAGAAGGAACTAAGGCCGGATGTTAATAATTCTATTAGAAAACATTATTTCAGGAAACAATTGCATGTAAATGAAATAAGCACAGGAAGCAGGTAGTTCCTTCTCAGATGCTCACTTATTGGACTTTACATATAGGTGGCTGAACCAGTTTGGATACTTCTAAACATGTGGGTATTTTACTATCTGTCATGTGATTGAGATTACTTTAATTAATACCACTAGGGAATTAGGGTGCATGTTCCCTGTTAATTATCTGCTACTGTGAGATTTTAAATTGGTTAGATTTGACTAAAGCTCTTGGTAAAAACAAAAGTTCCTCTTTCTAACAGAAACACACCTGTCTTTGGGAATGACTGTGTGATGGACATAGAACCATCATCTCACCCAACTACATTTTTCTCTTGTTTTTGTGTTGTATAGCTCTGGTTAGTTAGAAATGCACTGTGGGAGTCTCATCCTAAATTGGAAGCTATATACATAAAACCAAATCCACTCCCATTTAAAATGCTTTCCTCTTTACATTCAGTAAGAGACAACAAGAAAAACAAGGCAACAATTTGTGAGACCAAATGATTTCGCAGTCTCTGGACATAACACTATTCCTATGTGACCAGTACTGTACAGTATGCTCTATGGTACTGATCTACTACTGGACCTTTCACTGTCCAAGTAGAATTGGGACTCTGAGGTTGCTATGACACCTATGATAAATAATTGGACCAATCCAGTGCGAAAATTCCAAGTCTTTAATAACTTTCAACAATTTTTCCTGAGATAATTTATAAACATCATATGAACATATCCTTAAAAGGTAGCAGGTTTATAATAATAAACAACTTTTATATTAACTAGGGAAAAATACTGTTCTAACCCACAGGATACAATAGTCTGAGCTCTGATAACAGAGATGCCATGGTGCAATTCCTGGGACAACTGATCTGTGTTGGGATTTACTTTCTCCTCATGAGTGCTCTAAGTGTGTGTGCCTGCATTCTCCATTTCTTCCTGCTCCAGGATAGAGCAGTATCCCAGAGCTCCCTCCTCAGACAATGTCTTCATCCTCTTACTACTGATTTCTATCTGCGCTACTATACTTCAATTCCCACCTGTGGGGTGCCTCAGTGTCTGTTGGACCCAGGCCCACCCACTACTCTGGGTCCCAGCCCAGGGACCCTATATATAGCAGCTGTCTGTTGAGTCCCTTCATTCAAGTTCCACCACTAGTCTAATTCCCTGGGCCACTTCCCCACAGCCCTGCACTGTCTTTGCCCTTATCTCAGGACTTTGTCCAAAATAGAGTCCCACTACTCAACTCAGAACTCGTTTTCATCCTCTCTAACTCCTGGTAGAGTTGGTCCTGTTTTGGGCAGGGAGCTGGATACAATGACCTCTGGAGGTCTCTTCTAGCCCTAGGATTCTATGATTCTATGATTTTGGTATCACTGCTCTGTCTGGGGTTCTTCAGTTCTGCCAGCCAATCACACTGTACACACTGCTACAGCTCAAAAAACTGTCTTTGGCCCAGAAGCTCTCTTTATACTGGCTTGCTGGGCTCTCACTGGTTGCTTCTCACACAGCCATTCCAAGGAGCTTGGAGGACTTCCTTATTGCTCTTTTCATGGGCAGACCTCAGAAGGGCCACAAAGCCTCCAGCAGGAGTTGTTGGGGCCTACTCCACCCCATCTCATGATCAAAATCATAACTGTAACTGTAGGTTTCTAAAGCTCTCTAAACAAAATGAAAGGGTTTTGCCTGCAAGTAATTTTGCCTGCAAGTAATTTCTCACAAAAGAAAATAAAATTAGTGAGAAAGAATCCAAGCATCTGAGCAACCTGGTATAATTCTGGGAAAACATCTGAAATTGGAAAGGGCAAAATTTAAGAATGCTTATATTGAAGTTTCATATTAAAGTTTCATGCTGTTATCATAACTAAAACTCAGGCAACAGCAAATTAAAGATGAAAACTCTTGAAACACAGAGAAAAATAGCACAGCAACCTATGAAATATAAAACCTACTGGTATCGGTTTTTATCCTTCAGTGAGTTTTTTCTTGAATTGCCTCCTTCACTAAAATTGTCTTCTCCATCTTCAGATTCCAAACTGCGGCTACAGCTCCGAATGGTTTGAAAGATGCTGTTTGCTGTTGATTCTTTTTCTGAATTATTTAAACCATCGTAGCCTACTCGTTGCAAGAAATTATCTTGCCCATTGTAATCTGAAATAAACTAAAAAAAACCCAAATAGTTAGTACATTGAACAGTTAGAATAGAGCAGTTAAGTTAAACTGACAGAGTTTGGACCTGAGATTTTCAAAGTCACCTTGGTGTATGAGACACAGATCTCCCATGACTTTCAATGGGAGTTGGATGTCTAATTCTGGTCCATTAGGGCTTCTTGGCATTATAGTAATATAAATGAATAAATAATATGAATTCCTTTCAACATTTTGAAAATCTCAGCTTTATTCTCTACATTTGAGGGATGATTTGAAAGGACAAAAAGTAAAAATTGTAAGGAAAGAACAGTAATTTACCTTGCAATGCTTGTGATTTTTCAAGATGTTATAGTCAGGATGGAGACCACTGTACATATAGCTATAGCACATGCATGTAAAATTGGATTTCAATGTCCACCAATGAATATGCCCCTGTGCCTTCTTGTACTCCCATGGAAGAGGATTAAACAGGGAACCTACCCTCACTCAGTTTCCTTGCAGTTTGAAGCTTGTAGATGATGCAGAGGGAAGGTAATGGGACCCACACTACTCACATTATGTCGAGAAATCAGTTACTATAGGATAACATTTTTCTTCTTCAGGTATGTGTATGCATGAATCCCACCAATGCAGGTGAATGTCTGGTAGCAGCCTATTCAAGATGATGGGCATGAGGAGTACGTCTCTTTCAAACTTTGCATCAAGTCCAGTGTAGTGAAAATAGATTAAACACTTGTATTGAAATTGTCCATTGCCACTTGTAGTGGTGTCTTGGCTATCATCTGCTCCATCTTGAGCATGTCTATATGTACCTGAGGAAGCTGAGATAGGAAGGAAGTTATTGTCTCCCATAACAGAAAGTTGTATTTTGCAAACTCCACTAAACTGGTTGTAATGAAGAATTGGAGAGATGTTTTCCTTCCACAAAGCATCCATCCTTCCAGTTTTTAGAGACCTTTACCTTGAAGGCTCCTTGGTGGATTTGGCCCTCTCCCGGTCAGAAGATGAGCAACCCCAGAGTCAAGATGGGCATAAAAGTGATCAAAACTTCTGGATGGGACTTGGTATTGTTTTTCTAGCTACTTCCAGTCAGAAGAGAATAAGGCAGGGACATGCCTCAAATCCTTTGAGTCTAGAATGGCCTCATTGACTGGGAAGGCAATTCTTGTGGGCATGGAGAGATTGCTTTCTTGGATCACCATCATTTCCATGTCCAGTGTGTCAGCTATCTCTGGTGGCAGCTCCAGGAAAGCCTAAAAGTCACTGATAGCTGATTCATCCGGGGCGAATTCTCTAAGTAGAGAAGGCAGCATGTTTTTGGAAAACAACGAATTCCCATAGCACTTTAAGGACTAACTAAAATATAAAGGATGAGGAATTTACTCACGTTGGTGCAGTAACAACAGTTATTCAAGATGTGTGTCCCTGTGGGTGCTCCAATGTTGGGTTGGATCATCCTGGCGCCACAGATCGGAGATTTCATGAGCAGTGGTCAGCTGACCACGTACGTGCAGCATGCAACTTGTGCTGTTTGATCTCTGGCAGTACCTGCCCTGGTACCTGCCTCCGCCCCGGTACTTGCAAGATATAATAAGAGACTCTGAAGTGGGGAGGAGGGCGGGTAATGGAGCACCCATGGAGACACACATCTCAAAGAAACATCGTTACTGCACCAAGTAGTGTCCCCGTGGGTGCTCCACTGTTGGTGACTGTGTAGCAGTACCCAAGTATAAAGAAGGCGGGTAATGGAGTCACTGCTTATTCATAGTTGATGCTACTGCAGTGTCAGCAGATAACTTATGAAAAATTGCATAATGTTCATAAAGGTATCTATCATTGGTGGACCATGTGGCCGCTCGACAAATATCTTTAAGAGGAACTCCATGAAGGAAGGCTATAGAGGTTGCCACAGCTCTCATAGAATGAGCTCCGGCAGTGGTTTATTTCATATAGCATAGCACTTTTTAATGCAAGTAACAATAAAGTTTGAGATCCATTGTGATGAGAAGGGTTGGCCTCTGCAGCGTTCCGCTACTGAAAATAATAGGCAGTCTGTTTTGCGAAAGGTTTGAGTTCTGCCTAAATAGAAGGCAAGTGTTCTACACACGTCTAGGAAATGAAGCAGGGCCTCGCGACAACTCGCATGTGGCTTGGGGTAGAAAGATGGAAGTACGATTGGCTCCTTTATGTGGAAATCTGAGCAAGCCTTTGGGATGAAGGGTGGGTGTGGATGCAGCGTGACTTTGTCCTTGCTGAAGATGGTGTATGGTGGCACTGCCATTAGGGCTGCTATTTCTCCAACTCTGCAGGCTAGCTTTGAGTATCATCATTGAGAGCGGTTGCTATTGGCTGGAAGAGAGCACAGGTAAGAGTGTCGAGAACCAGCTCCAAGTTCCATGCAGGTGGTGGTAGTCTGCGTGGAGGATATAGATTGGAGAGGTTTTTGAGGAACCTCCTGGTAGAGGGATGTACAAACATGGAAAAACCATCCACTGAGCTTTGGAACACAGTGATTGCTGCTAGATGTACTTTCAAAGATGCTAGGGCTAACCCTGTTTCTTTTAATTGTAGGATATAGTCTAAAATGAGGTGTAAAGATGCTGTACATAGATCCAGTTTCTTAGCGGTGCACCAAGATAGGCGTCTGCACCACTTCTGAAGGTAAGTGCATCGAGTGGATTGCTTCCTACTATGCAATAAGATATCTCTCACTTTGTCCAAACAGTGGAATTCATCTTCTTGGAACCAACAATGAGCCAGGCTGTCAATCGTAGCATATGGGGTTGAGGATGAATTAGAGTCCCGTTGTTCTGGGTTAGGAGACTGGGATACGTGGGAAGGTGATAAGGTGGTTGAGGAGACATCTGTTAGAGATAGGGGAACCACATTTGTCGTGCCCAGAATGGGGCTATGAGAATCACTGTTGTACTGTCTCTGTTGTTTTTCTCAAGAATTCTTGGTATGAGTGGTGTTGGAGGAAGACGTATAAGTGGGGGCCCCTCTGATAGAAGGGAAAGGCATCCCCTAGAGATCCGTGTCATATGCCAGACAGGGGCGGATGAGAGTGCCACGGGGCCCCAGGCAGTACAATTTCGCAGGGCCCCCCCCCTTGACATGGCGCATGCCACGGCACATGCGCAGGGCTTCTGCAAGCGCGGGGCCTGGGACAGCCGCCCCGCTTGCCCTGCCCCAAATCCGCCGCTGATGCCAGCCCTGGAACAGTATTACTGACATTTTGTATTCTCGTGTGAGGTGAAGAGGTCTATCTGTGGACGACCCCAGCAAAAATGGGCTGGAGAACATGCCAGTGAAGTTCTCATTCGTGGTTTGGGGCAAAATGTCTGCGGAGGGAGTGTGTTAACTCATTATTGACTCCCAGTAAGTAGGAGGCTGTCAAGGTAACCACACTGCGGATGCACTAGTTCCATAACTAGATCACCTCAGTGCACAGGGAGCGAGAATGAGCGTCGCCCTGTCGATTTATGTAATACATTGTGGAGACGTTGTCGGTAAGTATCCTCACTGTGGTTCCTTGGATGTGCAGCAGAAAATGCCTGCATGCATTTGCAACTGCCCTGAGTTCCAATAAGTTGATGTGCAAAGTAGATTCCTTGGTCGTCCATAGACCTTGGATGGACATGTCTCTCATATGAGCTCCCCGTCCCATGAAAGACGCATCAGTAGTAATCTGTGTAGCAGGTTGATCCCGATGGAATGGGACTCCTGCAAGTATGTTGTTTGGCTCAGTCCACCACTTCAGAGATGCTATAATGTTGGAAAGTAGGGACACTTCTCTGTGTACACCTCGCTTTGGGTGGGTGTAAATGGAAGTAAGCCAGAGCTGAAGACAGCGAAAGTGAAGCCTCGCATGAGCAACCATGTAAGTTGTAGCTGCCATATGACCTATGAACTAAAGACAGGTGAGTATTGATGCTTTGAGGCTATTTGTGAGAGTAAATACGAGGTCTTGGATAGCTCGGAATAGTTGCAGTGGTAAGCACCCTCTTGCTGTGGTGGAGTCTAGGTCGGCTACAATGAACTCTAAGGTTTTTGTAGGTAGAAGCGTTGATTTCTGTTCATTGAGAATGAGACCTAAGAGGTCTGGCTATGGATATCATATGGAGAGTGTCCGTATCTGTTGGCCCTTTTATTATAAAGTCATCCAGGAAGGGAAATACCATAATCTGTTGCCGACGTAGGTATGCCGCTACGAATAGGAATTGTCTGTGCGCCAGATGTATGGTAATATGAAAATAGGCATCTTGCAGGTTGAGGGCCGCGAAGCAGTCCCCTTGTTCTAATGCTGGAATAACGGATGCTAGGGTTACCATCTTGAATCTTGCTTCCATAAGTATCAGTTCAATCTGTGAAGGTCTAGAATAGGTCTTCAGCCACCTGTCTTTTTTGTTGTGAGAAAATAATGGGAATAAAAGTCCTTACCCTTGAACTCTTCTAGCACCTTCTCTACTGCTCCTATGTCTAAGGGTATGTCTATACTACAAAGTTAATTCGAAATAACAGCAGTTATTTCTAATTAACTTTAATAGCATCTACACAGCCAAACCGCTATTTCAAAATACATTTGAAATAGTGGAGCACTTATTTCGAATTTGGTAAACCTCATTCTACGAGGAATAACACCAAATTCGAAATAGCTAATTCAAAATAAGTGCTGTGTAGACAGTTATTTTGAATTAGGAGGCCTCCAGCCCTTCCCAGTTTCCCCTTGGTGGCCACTCTGGGCCAAACCAGGAAAACTCCTCTCCTCTCCCCCATCGAAATAGCTAATTTGAAATAAGTGCTGTGTAGACACTGATTTCGAATTAGGGGGCCTCCAGCCCTTCCCAGTTTCCCCCGGTGGCCATGCTGGGCACAACCAGGAAACTCTTCTCCTCTCCCCCAACCCCGGGGCCCTTAACAGGATAGAGTCTGACCACTGGGTACGTGTGAGAGCCAGGCCTGCCAGCAGCCGCAGACCCTCAGCCAGTGGCCACACAATGGCAACCAGTG